CTCTCTCTCTCTCTCTCTCTCTCTCTCTCTCTCTCTCTCTCTCTCTCTCTCTCTCTCTCTCTCTCTCTCTCTCTCTCTCTCTCTCTCTCTCTCTCTCTCTCTCTCTCTCTCTCTCTCTCTCTCTCTCTCTCTCTCTCTCTCTCTCTCTCTCTCTCTCTCTCTCTCTCTCTCTCTCTCTCTCTCTCTCTCTCTCTCTCTCTCTCTCTCTCTCTCTCTCTCCTCTCTCTATCTCCCTCGTTCTCTCTCGCGCGTGCCCACGATGCACTCATCGTCTCAACTCTACGTACGCAACCTAACTACACGTCAAGCAACAATATACGCGAGAGCTGAATGACGTCAAGGTATCCGTATGCAGCCCCGATCGACTCTACAGTAGTTTGTATCGTGACGATATAAAAAAGAATTGTCTTTGAACAGTCGCTGGGAAATGGAGATAGGAATATATATATACACGTTAGCGTTACATGGAAGTAGGTGTTTGCTCGTGTCGCAAGTGGTTTTCATGGATTACAATACTAATCGTACACTAAGGATAGTATTAGGAGAAAATGAACACGTATCTCGAGAGAGAGGGGAGACAGAGACAGACAGAGAGAGGGAAAGAGAGGGAGGGAAGGCGGGAGGAAGAGAAAGGGAGAAGGAGAGAAAGAGGGCGCGCGCGCGAGAGAGAGAGAGGGAACTTTTATGTACGTATGAGCTGTATTCACGTACAGTACCTCTACTCTGAACCAACAGCTAGTTCCCGTCTTTCCATGTCAGCAGTTATATGCCACGATCTTGACATTATTCGCCTGTACACGTTATCTCTCAGATTGCGGTGCCGATCACTTTGATTAATTAGCCTCTTGATAATTAATTAAAATTAGTTGTTGCATCACATTGCACACTACACGGATCAATGCATACAATAAATACTATAATAATAATACTATAATAAAATGTATACAAGGCATATTATAAATTAGACGCGTAAATTGCCTGCCAACCAAGAAAGAACCTATAATATAGGGAGATGGGCACATTCCAGAACAAGCACATGAACTAGTAGAAATTATTACAATTGTGTTAAACGCACCGATAGGAAGTTGGTCAAGAGAGGAGCACGGGATGGAGTTGTCACAGAAAAAGCAGAGGCAGTGAAATGAAAGCAGAATAAGAACAAGGACAAGTACTGAGAGATTGTCACACAGAGTTGACATTTACGTAGCAGCTAATGATCAAAAAGCATGGCGATACGACAGAATATCGATACGAACGGATACAATATACTAGAATATTTTTGTAACAAGCACATAAAATGTCAATAAACACAACTAAAAAATCTAATCAAATTAAGAGCCAATAAACCAACTCAGACCCCATAGCGTGTCAATAGCACTGACAACTATTTTCTCAGATTAAAAATCTTCAGGGAAAACAAAAATTCAATTAGCTAATGACGAAGGAAAAAGCGACACACGCCACAATCACCATGGTTCCGGTGACTGAACCTAATGAATTCTCGGTGAAGTCTATAGGTTGGTAACCTTACACATATTCCACGATATACCTAAACTAACGAGAGTTAATATATATATATATATATAGAGAGAGAGAGAGAGAGAGAGAGAGAGAGAGTTAGATAGATAGTTTTATGTACGTCCACAATGTTTTCTACAAAGTTTTTTTGTATTGCGAGTGAGTGGTAATATAATCATTAGGCGTGTTTGTACCGAAAATGTGCTTCTAAAAGATTTAAGCAGAATATTTACTGCGTGGTTTCCCCATGGGAAGGTAATCGCTTATGAGGGTTACCTACAAAATGTGATGTTGCGTCTACGAGAATGCAGTAGGTGATTCAGGCCAAGGAAAATAATGAGCTTTCAAAAAAAGGAGTGTTCTGGAACGTTATCCTGGGGAACGGGGAAAGGATTTAAGGGAGAGCTAGGTCCTCCCGGGAAGAGTGAAAGATTTAGGGAGAGCTAGGACCTACCGGAAAGGGTGAAAGATTTAGGGAGAGCTAGGACCTACCGGGAAAGGTGAAAGATTTAGGGAGAGCTATGACCAACCGGGAAGGGTGAAAGATTTAGGGAGAGCTAGGACCTACCGGGAAGGGTGAAAGATTTAGGGAGAGCTAGGACCTCCCGGGAAGGGTAAAATATTGAGGGAAAGCTAGGACCTACCGGAAAGGGTGAAAGATTTAGGGAGAGCTAGAACCTACCGGGAAGGGTGAAAGATTTAGGAAAAACTATGAGGTACCGGGAAGGGTGAAAATGATTTAGGGAGAGCTAGAACCTACCGGTCGAGATGAAAATTATTCGGATAGAGCTGGGCCCTCTTTGTGGATATTAAATGAAAATGGTTTCGTGGAGTCTAGGATCCTCCTCGGAAAGACGGAGTTACGTGAGCGCACTTTAAACGGTTTTGCTAGGGCTCACATACTGAAGCGGTACGATGCTGATGCATTGAGGATCGCAGAGCACGGGGCTGGGGGTTTAAGGTGTTTGTGGAGAACACAGTCATTACCCCACGCGCACGCTACACTGACTCTTACCTCGCTGGTGGTGAGAAGTACGTCCTCATCCAAGCCTAGCACGGCGTCCGTCTGTATGGCCACGTGCGGGTAGAACCTCGAGTTGATCGTCTGCGAGGAAACAAACACACACACACACTGATAACTCAGCCGTACATGAAACACGCCGAGCACGGGTGGAAAGGCTGGCAAGCATACACACGCACGGCCAAGATACACACACGCACGCACGCACGCACGCACGCACGCACGCACGCACGCACGCACGCACGCACACACACACACACACACACACACACACACACACACACACACACACACACACACACGCACACACACACACACACACACACACACATATATATATATGTATATATATATATGGAGAGATGAGAGGTAGAGAAAGGGGAAAAAATAGAGAGAGAGAGAGAGTGGAGAAAGGGAGACACGAAAGGAGGTTGTGAGGGATAGAGGGGAAGGGATAGGGAGGGAGAGAGACAGAGAGCTGGCATAGTAAGGTTGCTAGCGCATTATCACTAACTTGTGGCCCACGGCTCGCTTGATTATGATGGTAACATAAGTGAGTTTAAATGCCACTGCACCGATGAAATCTGCCTCGGGCAGCAAGACTCTAGCTGATTCTTAACATCATCGATATTTCGCTAATACTGGCCAAATGATGCGCATATCCTGTGTACGGAACTCACTAATAGAGAGGAATTAGATTATATAGCGCTAATGCAGAAAACAGGTATATCACTCCAGGCAAAGGATCCGTCTTGCGGTCGGTGAGACTAATTGGCCAACGAAAAAGCTGCCCGAGTCGAGGTAATCGGTGGCTGCGGCTAAACTACGCTGCTGTGCCGCGCGGCTACGCGCCTTACTACACTACTGCGCGCTGCGCTGTTACCGCCGCCACGCGCTGCTACAACAGCGCTGCTGCTGCTGTTACTGCCGCTGCTACTGCTACTACTACTGCTGCTGCTGCTGCTGTTACTGCCGCTGCTACTGCTACTGCTGCTGATGCTACTACTGCTGCTGCTGCTGCTGCTGCTGCTACTGCTGCTGCTACTACCGCTGCTGCTGCTACTACTACTGCTGCTGCTGCTGCTACTGCCGCTACTACTACTACTGCTGCTGCTGCTGTTACAGCTGCTGCTACTGCCGCTACTACTACTGCTGCTGCTGCTGCTGTTACTGCCGCTGCTACTAATACTGCTGCTGCTGCTGTTACTGCCGCTGCTACTGCTGCTGCTGCTACTGCTACTGCTGCTGCTGTTACTGCCGCTGCTACTACTACTGCTGCTGCTGCTGCTACTGCCGCTACTACTACTACTGCTGCTGCTACTACTACTGCTGCTGCTGCTGCTGCTACTGCTGCTGCTACTGCCGCTGCTACTACTACTGCTGCTACTACTGCTGCGGCTGCTGCTACTACTACCGCTGCCGCTGCTACTACTACTGCTGCTGCTACTACCGCTGCTACTACTACTGCTGCTACTACTGCTGCGGCTGCTGCTACTACTACCGCTGCCGCTGCTACTACTACTCCTGCTGCTACTACCGCTGCTACTACTACTGCTGCTACTACTGCTGCGGCTGCTGCTACTACTACCGCTCTCGTTCTCGCGCTCTCTCTCTGTAGTCTGCGCTCCCAGTGGCTGTGATGCGGAGCGTCACAGCTCAGGTGCGGCTAGGCGGCCTATCCTCTCAATGAACTTTAGCACTTTGGCGGGGGTCGTCATTGAGAAGCTCTAAGATGTCCTTTGAGCCACACACTTCATTTCGTTGTTTGCTACTACCGCTGCTGCTGCTACTACTATTACTGCTGCTACTGCCGGTCCGCTGCTGCTACTACCGCTGCTGCTGCCCCATATGCCGCTGCCGCCGCCGCTGGTGCTACCTAATGCTAATCGAGCAAAATCCCCAAACCATCTTCGTATATAAAACACCATTCGTGCATAATTCAGCTGCGAACCATCTAGTGACACGCACGCACGCACGCACGCACGCACGCACGCAGCTGTTCTCCCTGCGCACCGTGTCTTCGTACGCCAACTAACCTCCTTTCAACATTCAACCCCCGTCCCCCCGAGAATTAATAGCATTTACCAAGTACGGCTCGCCCGAGCAGGGAGGCGGGGTAACTGTGATGGGAGGTAACATTCGGTAATTGATCTTTCCGACTCGGATAAATAGAATCTCGGAGAATGCTCTCTCGAAATGAGCGAAGCCACGTCGCAGCTCAGCCGCCGTGCACATACATATAGCGAGCCGTCGCGGTTGTCAGTAGCAACTGTTGCCGCGTGTTAAACGCGAATGGAAGCCACCGAGCGGCAAGTGACGGACGCGCGGCTGCCGCGCTGTGTGTCGCAGTGCCGCGCTCTGTAAGGGTTCGGCGTGGCGGAGAATCGCGCACTCAACCGCGATGGGAAATTCTTACACATACGCTGAGACAGCACGCCCGTTACCTCGCCGCGTTGTTAACTGCACGCTGTCGGACGATGATAAAGAGTGTCGCTAAAAAAACCGCTAGAGTTTCACGCCCAAGGCTGACTGCTCGAGTTCGTTCAACCGATGCTAAAGTTAATACATCTGCCTACAGACGTACGCGCGCCGCCATGCCAACACACTGCGAAAGAAAAGCGAGACTCACTACGTTCCGTGAAAACGACAAAATCAGCCCCCACACCCACCCTCACCCCCTCCCCCTCCATCATCAATATATACGGCCGCCGATTTATCAAAACGTGTAACACTTCATCAGCGCTGAGTACAGTGTGGACGCTTGCTTGTTCGCGCGCGCGCGCGCGGGGGGGGGGCGTATTGTCGTCTGCTCTCTGCAAACAGTGCCGCCCGGCGGCCGCTGCCGCGCGCAATAACGTCGCATTAGAACGCCGCCATTGTGCGCGCCGGCTCGCCGGATCATTCCAGCGCGCGAGAAACATGATGAGAACATGGCGACGACGGTGCCGCGTGTACGGCGGAGTGCGCGGCGGCTTCACGGGGCCGCTTCACGGGGCGGCATCACGGGGCGGCATCACGGGGCCGCTTCACGGGGCCGCATCACGGGGCTGCATCACGGGGCCGCTTCACGGGGCCGCTTCACGGGGCCGCATCACGCACCCGTCGCCGTTCATTAACAGTGGCGCGGGGAAAAGCCCACCGTTCTGCATATTTACACGCTGCCGACGCACACGGGCCGCTGTGTAATTGGACAAACACGGCACCGCCACCGGGAACAGCCCAGGCAAGCAAACGAAGTGGGGTGTGTGAGAGATAGGTGGGGCTCACCACAACGACACCGTAGAGACAATACATCTGCACGTCTATAATATATGATGATGTCGGTTCGCAGCAGCATGCGATGCCACCGAAAAGCACGGGGCGCGATTTCCTGAATATACGTTCACAGTGTGTATACGCGGGCATGACTAGATACGGCGTACGTGTATTTATACTGTCTAGCGCGTTCCTCGCCCCCCACCCCCCAAGTGTTATGCCAATAGTCAATGCTAATACATTCCCCGGCGAAAGCAAACACCAGTGTGAACCGTCAAAACGATTTCACGTCGTCATTTGCCTGCAGTAGTGCGGCCTCGCACACACACTTACTGGTGTTTTTCCTAGACTCGCAATGAATACTCTGCTGTCAAAACGATGAGCGCGAATACGCGACTAAAAGCTGATAGCGAACCAGTTCATCACAGCGCGGCAGGCCAGCCCGTCGTACTATTGCAGACGAGAAGTAAGTTTCTGCGCTAGGCTGCCAGTATGTACCACTGTCAACAGCAGCTGACCACTATTAGCCGCGTCCAGCGCGATTCCTTTAACGTACCACCCTCGTACAGTTGCTACTAGTCGCTCATATTTGTCCCCTCCCACCACTGCCCACTAACATCTTCCGCATTTACACTCACAACACTGGGTCCTGCTTCCAACTTCCACCGCTGCCCACTGCCTTACATGCACTATACATACCTACTGCCCATGCATGCACTGGCACACACTACCGTACACCTCCGCCACTGCCTACTGCATCCAACTACAGCCTCTACCCACTGCCCCACCAGTGTCCTACACTCCTCCGACTGCTTACCCCTCTCACCTTCCACCCCTTGCTAACTGCTACCTACTAATACTAGTAACTAGAGCCACTACCTCACACTCCCCACCGACCGCTGTGCACTCGCGCCCACCGCCACGTCTGAAAGCTGGCATCAACAAAATTACCTGAAACGAAACTCGATTTGCGAACTTGTTCGAAGTGTAAGCAGATTGGCACGAACGCCAGCAGCAATTTAGTCCGCCTTCGATCACATCGGCGCGCAATTTGCCCCCGCACGCGAAGCGTCTTCGTTGCCGCGGCAACAATCCTTGCAGCCTAGGTCACTCGCCGGCTCCCAAATGTCAACTCCGCGGGGCCCGATGACTTATTTATTGCGCGACATACGCAGATGCCGCGCGCGCTCGCGAGGGACGCATGCATCATCATTGCTAGACGCGCCCCCTACGCGCGTTCAGGGTTGACCCGCCTACCCGCGGCCTCCTCGACAACGCTTCTACATTATTCTTCGCTTTTACATTATCACCTTCTGCGCGGCTAGTCCTTCTGTCAACAAGCGACGAGTCGGCGAGGAGTAAAGCCGACAAAAGCCGATATAGCGCTTGCGATTTCAGATGAGCTATAGCTAAATAATCCCACCACGCTCATGCCACAGACTGACAAGCTGACGAACTCTGTGAGGGGGGGGTTAACACCCTGGGGAGGGAGGACTCGTAGCCCTGGGGGAGGGAGGACTAGTAGCCATGGGGGAGGGAGGACTAGTAGTCATGGGGAGGGATGACTCGTAGACGGTGCTCATTTACGTAGCCTTTCTATTGATTATGTTGAAATTGGCAAGGTTATTAGAATTGCTTCATTAGCGGCTATCATCAGTGACCACCGCTAGCGACCATAGTTGTTAAAATGTGACTATCGGCCTGAATCTACATGCATACAGATAGTTTAGCTGGTTTAATTCCTACTTGACTCCTGGTTGATCAGCGGGGTAGATATAACACACGCTTGTATATACTGCTGCCAATGTATCCAGAGCGAGCCAAAACACCCACCCACAGATATACCTACCCACTGCCCAATCTAATCCTAGACATTCTCTCCCATCGCCTACCAACGAAATAATTACTCCTATTCAATCTACGGATCCCATCCAGCGTGTTGTCTGTCATTCGCAGCGACAGAGCATTCCTCAATGCAGCTAGGTGTCAGCCTAGGATCGAGATCTCAGTGGCTCAGCAATTAAGAAGGAACATTGATGGACAATGCACTTGTTAAGGCTGGTAGCAGGACTACCCGTACACAAGCGGTGTGGCCTTGCACGATAAGCGTCTCGTACAGATTCTGTATCTCTCCGTCGGCTCTCTGGCTTGCTCGCACGCTCCCCCCTCCCACTCTTTCACCGCGATCGGCTCTCTCGTCCCATTCTCCTCCCATCCGATCTTCCCTCCTACTCTCCTCCCAGCCCACTCTCCCCCCACTGGCTCTCTTGCCCGCCAGTTCGATCTCCCCCCCTCACTCTCACTGGCTACTCTCCTGCTTTTGATGTCTCTCTGCAGCTGCATGCTTTATTTCTAATAGATAGGAGAGGAGCAAAGGGAATAGATACTGCTACACGGATGTTCTGTGCAGGTCACTTGGCCACAGATACCAATCCGGCCTACCTCTGGCCTTAACATCGTCTAATGATTGACAGATGAGAAACAACCTGTGTTCGCTTTGTTATGATAATATTTCAAGAGCTAATAATACCTATTATTTGCTCTTAATTATTTATATATATTATTAAATCTAATTTTTATATATTGATCATGTTCTGCTAACTTCTCGATCACAGAACGCCCATCACAGCATCTTCAGCGCAGAAAATCTCTGTTCAACAATACCAGCAGAGCAAGGACAGCGTTGGCGACAGTGTGACGTCGCAATGACGTCATGGATACACGGTGATGACGCTTCGCTGTCACACCGCTAGGTGATCACTTACCTTATTCTGGGGCTTAATGACGATGATTGGCACGCTGGTGGAAGGCCACTTGTTCTTCAACGGAGGGCTCTTGTCGCTTACCCATATCACCACAACCTGCGAGCAAGTGAAACACACAACTTTAAGAAGGAAGCTTACCAAAAAACAGTTAACTGTGGCGATGCTTAGCAGACGTCTAAACAGACAGTACGTTGCTGAGTACCTGAAACATACCTGCCAATTAACAACTCACTTATAGCAATGAATAATCTTATACACACTTGCTTGTATTGTGCACCAAAGACGAATATTGTTAAGCAACTAATTTCTTTGCACTCTTTGTACTCCCTAGAGGTCAGTATAGCGTAAATCAATGTTTAGCCAGACAATTTTATGGGGTAATGAAAACTCAATGTTTAACCTGTTTTCTTCTCGTTCCCAAGTCGACGAACGTACAATGTTCAACATTAAACAGCATGAAAACGCTCAATATGTTTGCACATTGTAAACATGATTCCTATTTGCTTTAAACATATCGCAAATATGTATTTAAAAAACTGAACCGTGACATCGCACATCAAAGAACCTTCATTTCTCGACAAATTAAGCTGAACATGAAAACCATCTCACCTAATAATTAAATGTATAACCTTATCAAATTAAATATGCTCGCACTACACAGAACACACTTAGCTGCTCCGACGCAAATCAATACGCGGAACAAATGAAACATTTCCCTTTCACTCACAGGGTCAGTGGTTACACATAATATACACACACGCACCACACGCAAGCATGCACACGCACACGCGCACGCGCGCAGTCACACGCTCACGCACACACGCACGCACGCACGCACGCACGCACGCACGCACGCACGCACACACACACACACACACACACACACACATTATGTTGGGCTCTAATTGAAATAATGAGCAGTCGTATGTCTTCGCACAATAACTATGAATCAGCCAGATGTGACATAATCTGAATAAAATTGTTATATTGCAACATGCTACTGTACAATAGGGAGAACTTGTAACAACGTTTCGAGGCGAGCGATGATTTTACGGTGATTACGTTCCGATGATTTTACGGGCGTTTATTTTAATATCGCATTTATTTATGTGATCCATAAATACTACGCGGAATCTCACGCTGCTCCGTAACGTGTATAAGCAGGGGCGTTCACTACTACTGACAGAGCTGACTGCAAGGACGACGAGTCAGCAGTAGGGTAGACCAGCAATAACTCACGAACTGCAGACACGATCGTCACCGATGACTGACGGAGGACGCACTGACTACTCGCCCCGCCAGCGAAATTTTTTTCCCCACGCGAGTTCCGGAATACAGCCAATCAGCGCACTCCATTCACTCGACTTCCTCGAAGCAACAATGAAAAATGAAACAAATGTCACCTTATCCCTAACCCTAACCCAACCCTAACCCTAAAACTAACTTTAACCGACTCACACGCTTATATACGCGTGGCATAGTACCAAACACTATCTATGGTGTATCCGGAACTCGCGTAGGGAAAATAATTTCGCGCCCCGCCAGTACGGAGACTCATCGCAGAATCTCCCGCGCTCAATACATGGAACGTTCACGATTATATACACCACTCATCTCTGCCCGCGTAGTCTTCCCAGTACGCGCAGAGAATCGAAATCATTGCAGTCACAATATACGACTAGTTTCTATCCACGCAGCCAAGGGAAATGACTTTCATAGGAAAATAACTGCCTACTGCTTAATATCGTTTGCAATCCGGTATACGTACAACAAGGACACCGGATTGTCCACTCACCGGCTCTCTACTGAAATTGAAATTTATTGTTCAAAAACCTTCCAACAACAAGGTACAAGAACTTAGCACCAACATTTTATACGAACAGCACAACACCGAAATCCGAAAACAAAAAGACCGGTATACAACAAGTTACCTAGGAAATAAAATAAAAATAAAAGAGACTTTAGATCTGCTGACGTGTACAGAAAAAAAAACATGGAGGAAGAGCTGTCATGGATGATGGGTGCGATTTCAGGGAAAATGGTAATTACCCACAGGGGACGCATGATAACGCACGTAAAATACATAAAACCTCGTCGACGCTCTCGCACAGAAAGCATGTTGCGATGTTTCAATGATTAATTTGCACTATCTGTGATTACTAAAGAATTAGTGTATTAAGTCGTAGGCCGGCGCGAACATGATTTCAGATATGCAGTGGCCACCGATCTCAGTAGATTCTCGGCTCTTGTTTCTATCCGATACCCCCTCCACCTCCTTTCCTCTGGTCTCTTCCTTCCTCCCACATATTCATATAACGGCTTCCTACATATCTTTGTCTCCCATATCTTCTTCCACCAACTAACAACATATCCCTCTACATATACTCCGTGCTTCCCTTCCTCCCCCTTCTCTCTTTCAGCCAGGCCACTCACTGTCTCTTTCCCCCTCTCATCTCTGTCTCATCTCTCATTCACTCTACCAGAGGTCATCATCCTGATGTATTGTGTAAGCACAACCGCAATGACGTTGGATGATTCGAGAAATGGGACACGCAGAAATCTCACGCGTAAGCAGGCCTTTAGTAGACGTTTATATTCATTAGAAGTTGTTTGCGCTGCAAGCTGGCAATATTAACGGTGTGACTTACGCCCTGCTTCTCTGGTCTCTGACTCAACTGCTGTCCGTTCTGTGACATCAACGAGAACAGCAAATAATTTCGCCCAGACGCAGAATTTCTACCTCGCAGTTTTTTGGCTTTCCATCATCGCCTTACGCGTAAGAAGATAGTTGTTGTTGTTTTTGCTCACTGTTTACAATTATTACGACTTCATGGAGTTTTCCCAATTTCTAACGAATGTATTTCAGCAAAGCTTCACAGCAGTACACGGACGCGCTCAGGCGACAGACGCTGATTAAATACAACTGAAGAACACGTCGACTGTAGACGTACACTGAGAACTGAAGCCGTACATCTCCCGCCTTCGTCACAGGATCAATCACGACTTATCTCGCACACGCGTCGGTGGGCGGATGTACGACTGAGGAGAGATGACACTTACACGGAACAGCACTGCGACGATTCGTCATACGAAAAGCCGGTGAAGAAGTCGCAACACCTATCACATACGTCTTCGAATTCATGAGACAAATACAATTTACTCGGTCCGTTGACGTGATATGACGCAGTATTCACAGCGAGTCGCATCGCTCCTGGCACTTGCTATCGCTGCACTAAAAACGTCTCGTGTTCGTTCGGTTTGTAGATGGCGTGTAAGCAGCTTTCCAATGAGCACGCGCTCTCTATTTTTCTCTCTCTCCCTCTCTTTATATATATATATCTTTCTCTCTCTCCCGTTCTCTCCCTCTCTAATTCTCTTTCTTTCGCTGTCTCTCTGTCTCTCTCTCTCTCCATCGATGACTATATACCCGTTGAACTCTCCTACATCGAATGAAGCCGTGGTTGGGAATGCATGTCAGGGGCCAGTGTCTGCAGTGACAGATCTCGATCTGTACGTAAGTCGCTGACTCACGCCGTAACAATCGCTTTTATCCACGCAACTCTTTCCTAATAACGGAATGCATCGGGAATAGCGCTTCTCCAGCATATGTGTCACACACAGGCACACACGCGACCTCCTCTAGACGACCGACGCGCCACCTGGCTTGCAGCGAGCGAGATCAAGGGTGTGCGTATATCTGCGACAGAATCTCTTCATTGGATCAACTATAGCACTATACGCATATATCACTAGCATATCATATAGCACTATAGGCATATATCACTAGCATATCATATAGCACTATATATAGGCATATATCACTAGCATATTATATACGTATATGTAGCACTATACGCATATATATATATATATATATA